CCTCCAGAAAATACATACCAAATCCTTGTCCTTGATTAGGATCTGATATAGACGTCAGAGGGGACCTCATAAAAAAAGTACTGCGGGGCTCCCCTAAATTTCATACCAGGGCTTACTTCTGTTTGTAAACAAAGTGGCCGGGATTCCTTTCATCTATACCAGACCCTTATCCTAGAAGTCTGGTATAGATGTTGATGGGAGACCCAATACACAAAAAAAAGGCTGGGGATCCTCCCTAATCAAGGACGAGGATTTGGTATGTATTTTCCGGAGGATCCCAGCCTTTTTTTGTGTGTTGGGTCCCCCATCAACAGCTATACCAGACTTCTAGGATAAGGGTCTGGTATAGATGAAAGGAATCCCAGCCACTTTGTTTACAAACAGAAGTAAGCCCTGGTAAGAAATTTAGGGGAGCCCCACAGTACTTTTTTTATGAGGTCCCCTTTGACGTCTATATCAGATCCTAATCAAGGATGAGGATTTGGCATGTATTTTCCGATCTGATATAGACGTCAAAGGGGACCTCATAAAAAAAGTACTGTGGGGCTCCCCTAAATTTCTTACCAGGGCTTACTTCTGTTTGTAAACAAAGTGGCTGGGATTTCTTTCATCTATACCAAACCCTTATCCTAGAACAGTGGTCGGCAAGCCGCCGCTCGCGAGCCACATGCGGCTCTTTACACGCTTTAATGCGGCTCTTGTGTGCCGGGCGCCCGCTCCCCTCCCTCCTCTCGGGCGGCAGGGACTCTGCAGCGTGATCCAAAAAAAAAAACAGCGCTCAAATGCAATGATTGGCCAGTCTCGCTGCCACTCACATCCTGATAGCCAGTGATTGGCTGTCAGGATGTGTGTAGGCGGGGCAGCGTGACGAACGTTCCTCTCACAGTCCGCCCTGAAGACCGGAACGGCGCGGGAACACGGCGAGAGGAACGCACGGAGCAAAGGTAAGTGAATTGACACAGGGGGGACTTGGCTTACTACTTGCTACTTACTTACTATTACTATATGAGGGATGAATTACTATGGGGGATGAATTACTATGGGGGGATGAATTACTATGGGGGATGAATTACTATGGGGGATGATTACTATGAATTACTATGGGGGATGAATTACTATATGGGGGATGAATTACTATGAGGGATGAATTACTATATGGGGGATGAATTACTATATGGGGGATGAATTACTATGAGGGATGAATTACTATATGGGGGATGAATTACTATGGGGGATGAATTACTATATGGGGGATGAATTACTATATATGGGGGATGAATTACTATGGGGGATGAATTACTATAGGGGGATGAATTACTATAGGGGGGATGAATTACTATAGGGGGGATGAATTACTATATGGGGGATGAATTACTATGGGGGGTGAATTACTATATGGGGGATGAATTACTATGGGGGATGAATTACTATGGAGGATGAATTACTATAGGGGGGATGACTTACTATAGGAGGGATGAATTACTATATGGGGGATGAATTACTATAGGGGGGATGAATTACTATAGGGGGGATGAATTACTATATGGGGGATGAATTACTATAGGGGGGATGAATTACTATGGGGGATGAATTACTATAGGGGGGATGAATTACTATATGGGGGATGAATTACTATGGGGGATGAATTACTATGGGGGATGAATTACTATAGGGGGGATGAATTACTATGGGGGATGAATTACTATGGGGGATGAATTACTATAGGGGGGATGAATTACTATAGTGGGGATGAATTACTATGGGGGATGAATTCCTATATGGGGGATGAATTACTATGGGGGATGAATTACTATATGGGGGATGAATTACTATGGGGGATGAATTACTATGGGGGATGAATTACTATATGGGGGATTAATTACTATATGGGGGATGAATTACTATGGGGGATGAATTACTATATGGGGGATGAATTACTATATGGGGGATGAATTACTATGGGGGATGAATTACTATGGGGGATGAATTACTATATGGGGGATGAATTACTATATGGGGGATGAATTACTATATGGGGGATGAATTACTATGGGGGATTAATTACTAAAAAACTTATTGAAACTAAAAACTGTGTACCATCCTATGTATTTTCAGTTTTAAAAATGTGGCTCTCAAAATAAATTTCAATCGTGGTTTTGGCGAGATTTGGCTCAGTTGAAAAAAAAGGTTGCCACCACTGTCCTAGAAGTTTGGTATAGATGTTGATGGGGGGACCCAACACACAAAAAAAAGGGGGGGAGGAGGATGGGGGGGTTCCTTTCATGTATGCCAGACCCTTATCCTAGATGTCTGGTATAGATGTTTATGGGGGACTCAACAAAGCAAAAAAGGTTGGGGATCCTCCTGAAAATATATACCAAATCCTTGTCCTTGATTAGGATCTGATATAGACGTCAAAGGGGACCTCATAAGAAAAAAAAAAAAAAAAAAAAAAGTACTGTGGGGACCCCTAAATTTCATACCAGGGCTTACTTCTGTTTGTAAACAAAGTGGCCAGGGATTCCTTTCATCTATACCAGACCCTTATCCTAGATGTCTGGTATAGATGTTGATGGGAGACCCAAACATACAAAAAAAGGGGGCGGAGGAGGATGGGGGGGATTCCTTTCATGTATGCCAGACCCTTAACTTGGATGTCTGGTATATATGTTGATGGGGGACCCAACACACAAAAAAAAGGTTGGGGATCCTCCAGAAAATACATACCAAATCCTCCTCCTTAATTAGGATCTGATATAGACGTCAAAGGGGACCTCATAAAAAAAAACAAAAAAAAAAAACGCTGTGGAGCCCCCCTAAATTTCATACCAGGCTTACTTCTGTTTGTAAACAAAGTGGCCAGGGATTCCTTTCATCTATATCAGACCCTTATCCTAGATGTCTGGCATAGATGTTGATGGGGGATCCAACACACAAAGAAAGGCTGGGGATCCTCCTGAAAATACATACTAAATCCTTGTCCTTGATTAGGATCTGATATAGACGTCAAAGGGGACCTCATTAAAAAAAAAAAAAAAACACTGTGGGGCCCCCTAAATTTCATACCAGGCCCTTTGGGGAATGCAACAATTAAAAAAAAAAAAAAGTATAAAAATCATGGGGTCCCTTCCCCAAAATTCTTACCAGACCCTTATCTGAGCATGTAGCCAGGCAGGCCAGGATTGGGCTAGGGGGAGAGCTCTTGCCCCCCCCCCCAGACTATATCAGGCCACATGCCCTCAACATGGGGTTGCCCGAAAATTTTGTGATGTGCGATTTTTCTCACAGTTTTGGTGCGCCGAAAGCCCATTGGTTCAATGAGTTGCCCTGATGCAATGCACATTAACGCATGACATAATGCCCCGCATACATGTAAATGGGCCCTAATTGTATATGAAGCTTCATTTGTGTCTTTTCTATCAGACCGGAGTTCAGCTTTAAGGCCAAGTCTAAGGTAGGTGGTCTGAGAACTCCCAAGCGCCCGTTCATTTTCGCATTTCCATCTTCCTGTAGAGGAATTTGCTGTATAATTGCGCCCAGAGACATTCATTAATGCGGCAACGCAGGACATCAGAAGGTGAGGAGCCTTGAACGCAGATGTTCACTTCCCAATTCCTCCCCGCAGCTTTTCTCCCCGTAACGAGAAAGTCATTAATTTGGGTGACATTCTCCAACAAAGCCACGGCCCCGCCTCGTCATGTTTCAAGTGCGTCCAGAGAGGCGAATTTGGGCAATCTCGGCAACGCGCGATTCCAGGCGAATCTTTTGATCGCAATCAAATCACCTAAATTGAATGATCCCAGCTCATGCTTCTAATTAGGTGGTTGAAAACATCCCAGATTCGACTTTACCGCACATTTGGCTGGGCTGCAGCCGGCCTTACAAATTGCTCAGCTAAAACGAAAAGCTGCCGAGATCTGGGGGATTATGCGGGCAGGCACAGAGGGCCCCTTGTTAGTGGAGGAAAGACCCGCTTGTTTTGATTGGTTTTAAGTGCTCAGGCTCATCAGTGCAAGGGGGGGGGGCTGGGACTTCGTGGCCCCCAGTCAGGAGTAACAAGCGCTGTGAAGTCCAGAGCACTGCATTACCTTTTACAAACAGGAGGCGTCAACAGCCAAAGGAAAAAAAGTTTAGCATTTTCATTGCTTAAAGATAATGGGCGGAGCCATGCAAATAATTCCTGAAAGTAGACTTTGTCTTAAAGTAGATGGAAACCAATGATAGCCTATGGAGAGGAAGCTGATGGGACAGGCATGCTCCATACATACAGAATAGGAACAGATACTGAGAATGACACCCGGCATACAGGACCAGAGAAGTGATACTGTGCGGAGTCCATCCATACAGAATAGGAACAGATACCGAGAATTACACCCGGCATACAGGACCAGAGAAGTGATATTGTGCAGAGTCCATCCATACAGAATAATGCCAGCCAGATACCGAGAATGACACCTGACATACAAGACCAGAGAAGTGGTACTGTGCGGAGTCCATCCATACAGAACAATGACAGATACCGAGAATGACACCCGGCATACAGGACCAGAGAAGTGGGACTGTGCGGAGTCCATACATACAGAACAATGACAGATACCGAAAATGACACCAGCATACAGGACCAGAGAAGGGATACTGTGCGGAGTCCATACATACAGAACAATGACAGATACTCGAAAAATGACACCCAGCATACAGGACCAGAGAAGGGATACTGTGCAGAGTCCATACATACAGAACAAAAACAGATACTGAGAATTTTAGTATATCTACAGTCTCTGACCATCTCCTGTACAATGTCTTCAGTCTCTGACCATCTATTGTAGTTCAAAGTGTCTGCCAGTCTCTGACCCGTCTCCTATAATATCTTTTGCAGTCTCTGACCATTTCCGTACCATGCCTGCAGTCCCTGACCATCTCATATAGTATGTCTGCAGTCTCTGTCTGTCTCCTGTAGTACAGTATGTCTGCAGTCTTTGACCATTTCCTGTAGTATGTCTCCAATCTCTGACCATCTCCTGTAGTATGTCTGCAGTCTTTGTCCGTCTCCTATAGTATGTCTGCAGTCTCTGACCATCTCCTGTAGTATGTCTGCAGTCTCTGACCATCTCCTATAGTATGTCTGCAGTCTCTGACCATCTCCTGTAGTATGTCTGCAGTCTCTGACCATCTCCTGTAGTGTGTCTGCAGTCTCTGACTGCTTTTCTGTAGCATTGTATTTCCTGAATATTATATGTGGCCCTTTGGTGGTGTCAGGGTCTGTAGCTGAGGCCCCCAATATCTAGTGAGTTAACCATCACCGCTTTCCCTAAATGGTGACTGTAGACTCTGATCCAGCATCTTCATGTCTAGGCTCAATTAACCATTTGGGTGGTTAAATCCATGACGTGATACCCGCAGAGAGACGCATGCCATTTGAAACCTCCTGAGGAGCGGGGTAGTGCGTCAGAGCACACGGGGCTTACATCTCGGCTACTCTCCCCTTGATTTCCCGGCCAGAAGTCGGTCGGCTTTGTAGGAGTCACTAATGTTATTTTAGCTGTGGATGGAAGCAGCGCTGCAATCAGAGGGGAAAACCCCAAGACACCCAGGCAGCAATCACCGCGGTAATCACTGATGTCAGAGGTTTCATTCACGGTCGCAGGAACCAGGAATCTGCAAGCGCTGGACCCGGGATTATGAGGAATTATTGATCGGGCCGGAAGAGACGCTATATGTTCCTTATATAGCCATGTGGACCCTTTAATCAGATTCAGGTCATGCTGCCTGATGGCAATGTGACATTGTTCCTTTATTTTTTTTTACGGCATATATACACATTCAAATACTCTGCTGGAGGACTCCGCTCCTTCCTCTATAACTCTCCTTTTCTGAAATACTCTGAGCTGCTGGAGGGCTCCGCTCCTTCCTCTATAACTCTCCTTTCCTGAAATACTCTGCACTGCTGGAGGACTCTGCTCCTTCCTCTATAACTCCTCTCCTGAAATACTCTGCTCTGCTGGAGGACTCCGCTCCTTCCTCTATAACTCCCCTCTCCTGAAATACTCTGCGCTGCTGGAGGACTCCGCTCCTTCCTCTATAACTCCTCTCCTGAAATACTCTGCACTGCTGGAGGACTCTGCTCCTTCCTCTATAACTCTCCTTTCCTGAAATACTCTGCTCTGCTGGAGGACTCCCTCTCCTTCCTCTATAACTCTCCTCTCCTGAAATACTCTGCACTGCTGGAGGACTCCGCTCCTTCCTCTATAACTCTCCTCTCCTGAAATACTCTGCGCTGCTGGGGACTCTGCTCCTTCCTCTATAACTCTCCTCTCCTGAAATACTCTGCACTGCTGGAGGACTCCGCTCCTTCCTCTATAACTCTCCTCTCCTGAAATACTCTGCACTGCTGGAGGACTCCGCTCCTTCCTCTATAACTCCTCTCCTGAAATACTCTGCACTGCTGGAGGACTCTGCTCCTTCCTCTATAACTCTCCTTTCCTGAAATACTCTGCGCTCTGCTGGAGGACTCCGCTCCTTCCTCTATAACTCTCCTCTCCTGAAATACTCTGCGCTGCTGGAAGACTCCGCTCCTTCCTCTATAACTCTCCTCTCCTGAAATACTCTGCTCTGCTGGAGGACTCCACTCCTTCCTCTATAACTCTCCTCTCCTGAAATACTCTGCACTGCTGGAGGACTCCGCTCCTTCCTCTATAACTCTCCTCTCCTGAAATACTCTGCGCTGCTGGAGGACTCCGCTCCTTCCTCTATAACTCTCCTTTCCTGAAATACTCTGCTCTGCTGGAGGACTCCTCTCCTTCCTCTATAACCCTCCTCTCCTGAAATACTCTGCTCTGCTGGAGGACTCCGCTCCTTCCTCTATAACTCTCCTCTCCTGAAATACTCCGCGCTGCTAAAAGGACTCCGCTCCTTCCTCTATAACTCTCCTTTCCTGAAATACTCTGCGCTGCTGGAGGGCTCCACTCCTTCCTCTGTAACTCTCCTCTCCTGAAATACTCCGCGCTGCTAAAGGACTCCGCTCTCCTTCCTCTATAACTCTCCTTTCCTGAAATACTCTGCACTGCTGGAGGACTCCGCTCCTTCCTCTATAACTCTCCTCTCCTGAAACACTCTGCACTGCTGGAGGACTCCGCTCCTTCCTCTATAACTCTCCTGTCCTGAAATACTCTGCTCTGCTGGAGGACTCCTCTCCTTCCTCTATAACTCCTCTCCTGAAATACTCTGCACTGCTGGAGGACTCCGCTCCTTCCTCTGTAACTCTCCTCTCCTGAAATACTCTGCACTGCTGGAGGACTCCGCTCCTTCCTCTATAACTCTCCTGAAATACTCTGCACTGCTGGAGGACTCCGCTCCTTCCTCTATAAAACTCTCCTCTCCTGAAATACTCTGCACTGCTGGAGGACTCTGCTCCTTCCTCTATAACTCTCCTTTCCTGAAATACTCTGCACTGCTGGAAGACTCCGCTCCTTCCTCTATAACTCCTCTCCTGAAATACTTTGCACTGCTGGAGGACTCCGCTCCTTCCTCTATAACTCTCCTCCTCCTGAAATACTCTGCTCTGCTGGAGGACTCCTCTCCTTCCTCTATAACTCTCTCCTCTCCTGAAATACTCTGCACTGCTGGAGGACTCGCTCCTTCCTCTATAACTCTCCTGAAATACTCTGCACTGCTGGAGGACTCCGCTCCTTCCTCTATAACTCTCCTCTCCTGAAATACTCTGCTCTGCTGGAGGACTCCTCTCCTTCCTCTATAACTCTCCTCTCCTGAAATACTCTGCACTGCTGGAGGACTCCGCTCCTTCCTCTATAACTCTCCTGAAATACTCTGCACTGCTGGAGGACTCCGCTCCTTCCTCTATAACTCCCTCTCCTGAAATACTTTGCACTGCTGGAGGACTCCGCTCCTTCCTCTATAACTCTCCTCTCCTGAAATACTCTGCACTGCTGGAGGACTCCGCTCCTTCCTCTATAACTCTCCTCTCCTGAAATACTCAGAATTACTGAAGGACTCCGCTCCTTCCTCTCTCTTACTATCTGTTTTTCCTTTTTCTTGTTTTTCAGGTTTTTATTGCCCAGGAGCTGTAAAAACAAAGCCCAGCAATAACAGCTACTCATGTGGACAGAACCCTCCTCTGGATTCATTAATGGTCAGTGGAATTCCCAGAAGACCCACCACTGCTCTGATGGAGGAGCTCCTGACACGTGCTGCTAGTGGCCTCCATCATTGTTGGCCTCAGTTGGGTGATTAGGCCTCTTTGTTTGTTATTGTGCTCCCTGGAAGTGTGAATGTGTCTTGTTAATTAGTGAAGAGGCTCATCCAGAGAAAACAGGAGGATAATGATGAGGAAGAGTGACCTCTTTTGTTGGCTGCTGGATTTAATGGAGTCTGAGGTTGGAGCTCTGTCCACTGAAAGGTGAGGTTCATGTTTTGTCTACAGGCTCCGACAACAGGAGGGATTATACTGAACAAATCCCAGCGATAAATCCCACCAATTGTATTACTGGACAGGAATTTGGTAAAAAGTCACCGGGGTCACCCCAAAAAACCCTCAGGATATTTTCTCAGTGCAGGACTGAGATAATACCTGATATTAATGTGTTTTACTCTGATGGTCACACACAGCCCAAATAAAACAAGACATCCAATCAACTTCTGCAAAGTCTGTAAAGCTTGGGATGTCCAGAGATTAACTAGAAAGTAATATAAAGAGTGTATGAGGGACAGAAGAGCTCACAATCACACGCAGAATTTGTATCAAGCTGGAAAATATCTGCCAGATAATTTTACTGATCATTACTGCCCTGCAGAAGAAAAATACATCCTTCACCTGTGATGTCACCCATACCAAGAGAATGGATAGGCTGCATTCTCAGTGATGTCACCGCTCTCTAGTGAACGGATAGGCTGCATTCTCAGTGATGTCACCGCTCTCTAGTGAACGGATAGGCTGCATTCGCAGTGATGTCACCGCTCTCTAGTGAATGGATAGGCTGCATTCTCAGTGATGTCATCACTCTCTAGGGAACGGATAGGCTGCATTCGCAGTGATGTCACCGCTCTCTAGTGAATGGATAGGCTGCATTCTCAGTGATGTCACCGCTCTCTAGTGAACGGATAGGCTGCATTTCTCAGTGATGTCATTGCTCTCTAGTGAACGGATAGGCTGCATTCTCAGTGATGTCACCGCTCTCTAGTGAATGGATAAGCGCATTCTCAGTGATGTCACTGCTCTCTAGTGAATGGATAAGCGCATTCTCAATGATGTCACCGCTCTATAGTGAATGGATAGGCGCTTTCTCAGTGATGTCACCGCTCTTTAGTGAATGGATAGGTGCATTCTCAGTGATGTCACCGCTCTCTAGTGAATGGATAGACTGCATTCTCAGTGATGTCACCGCTCTCTAGTGAATGGATAAGCTGCATTCTCAGTGATGTCATCGCTCTCTAGTGAATGGATAAGCGCATTCTCAATTATGTCACCGCTCTATAGTGAATGGATAGGCTGCATTCTCAGTGATGTCACCGCTCTCTAGTGAATGGATAGGCTGCATTCTCAGTGATGTCACCGCTCTCTAGTGAATGGATAAGCGCTTTCTCAGTGATGTCATCGCTATTTAATGAATGGATAGGCGCATTCTCAGTGATGTCACAGGTCTCTAGTGAATGGTTAGGCTGAGTTCTCAGTGATGTCACTGCTCTCTATTGATTAGATAAGCTTTATTGTCAGTGATGTCAAAGTTCTCTAATGAATGGACAGGCTGTGATCTATATTTTTTTTCTGATGATCATTCTGTATCAGAGATATAAGTCACTCACCTTTCTGGCTCTCTATGAAGGTGGGTGATCAGTGAAATGATCCGATCGTGCTATGTAACAATCATGTTTTTATATAAAAAGCATAATAAGAAACCTTCCTGTTTTTCTGGGAATTGATGCCTGCAGGAAATTAAATCTTTCTCAAACCATTTCTATGTCTCTGCCAGCACAAGCAAAATCAGAGCCTGGAGTGAAGAGTGCACAAAGAAGACGCTGAATGTACTGAGATCAGAACCTGAGCAAGTGGAAGTGAGACGGCTGCACAACTCTGAAGGGAAAGTGCTGATTGAAACCCCTGTAGTATAATTCCTATCTATTATCTATCTATCTATCTATCTATCTATCTATCTATCTATCTATCTATCTATCTAATCTATCTATCCCAGATCTATCTATCTATCTAATCTATCTATCTATCTCTATCTATCTATCTATCTATCCCAGATCTATCTATCTATCTCAGATCTAGATCTATCTATCTATCTATCTATCTATCTATCTATATCTATCTATCTATATCTATCTATTATCTATCTATCT